GTCCAACCCGTTACTAGCGTGGTGTACCTAATAAGTGGCCGGTGAGTGTAAACAGCTTTTTATAAGGTAAAAATAATAAAACAAGGTCTTTGTCTGCAATGATTAGACATGTTTTTTATTATTGTCATTAGTGATTATCTTAATTTTGGCTAAAAGAATTGACAAAATCCTACACACTGTGCCTTTAAGTACTGAGGCTATTAGCTGAAGTGTTTAAAGAAAAATCAAGACAGGTATATTCACTCTGAAATGTCTCTGGAGCAAGCTGTTGCCCATTAAAGACCAAGTTTCAAAAAAGGGAAGAGCAAACTGGTCAAATGGAAGAGCTAACATGGTGGAAGATACAGCCATGAGACATCAGAGGGAGCTGCATCACTTCGATACAGAGCTTTCAACAGAATGTGATCTCCAAATGTACATTAAGAAGGAACAATGTCAGGATCTTTTTTTAACCTAAATATTAATAACCACAGCTAATATTTTTTAGCCTGATAAGAACAAGGCACCAGGCATCTCCACTTGAAAATCACCAAATAATTCAACATAAAGAACATGTATGATGTGAAACTGAACCATGTGAACAACATTTTTGAGATAAGAAATGTTTAAAAGCAGCAGCAATCCACTTTGGTCTTGGTCCAGCTCAGGCTAGCTGTTAGCTCGTCAGTCCTGTTAGACTTGAAGTCTGTTTCTCCAAACTGATGCTGCTGTGATATTGACTGCACCATGTGATCTGATAAAACTAGACTCCATGATGCAAAGGTTTTAAATCAATTTCACTTCCTAATTTTTACTGCAGCTTGCAAAGCTCTGATCTGTATATTTATGGGGTTTTTTTTCCTGTTACCTGTTCTTTGTTGTTTTCCAATGCAGGTAGAACTTCCTTCACAGTCCTCTCCACCAACACMCCACCGACTAGGCGGAAGCATTTCCTTGAAGGATCCACTTCCTTTAGGGTCTCAATTACTAAACTAATCAGACAAAAAAACAGAAAAAAACTTAGTCATTCATGATACTCTAAAAAGAGAAACAAAGACACCCAAACACACTAAAGACAAAATTACTGTTTATCGATACAAAACCCTTTTTATTAAATTAAATGTTTAAATATTACGTGAATGAAAAGGCTGCACCAGTCACCAACCTGTGTTCTGTGATGTCCATCTCCAGCTCTGCAGCCTTCGAAGCCATACTGCGCTGCTCCTGACGCATCCTCTGAAATGTTGACACCACCTGTCACAACATAAACAAACCAATGACATGGCATCATCAGTGCTGGCTCAGACTTGTGTCATTTGGCAGATTAGTAATAGTTTCACTCACAAATTGGAAAATTAATTAATTAATTKTGTCTGTTTTACAAGTGTAAAAACATCATCATGTGGGGTTTTGTGGTTGAAAAGTCTGGCTTCCGTGTCTTATAAACACCCAATTAGTTGCTTTAGAGTTGTTGCTYTTGATTAGCTTTTATTTATTGCCTTAATGAATAATAACCTTGATAACTACCTATAAACTAATATGTGAAAACGAATAAGCTGATAAAAATAGTGGAAACGTATTCAATTTATGACAAATATAAGAAACCTGCAATGTCACTCGAGTTTTACACACATTCTTCTTTTATTCATCAACATTTTAGAGTAAAATCTGTCCTTTTCATTTAAGTAGTAGCWGTAATTACAGATTTATTACAAAATTAAATTTAATTTTGAGTAAACAAAAGAACCACCTGCATATTCACCCATGTCTYCTTTTTTCTATCCTACTTACAAACTAAATACATTGATTGATTTTTATCATCTAATCCTTTGCTGTTTAAATGTATTTATTTCAAATTAAAATTTACTGCCACAGATTTGGCTGATAAACACATTTCTCCCCGTTTMGTTTGCACTGATTCCGCTGTAAATCATAAAGTGTGTAGACTACATTAGATTTTAAACTATTGTGAGAAATCTTAATGATTTAATGAAAATAAGATGTTTATGTTTTTAAAGYCTCTTTTAGCATATTTTAGTTGTTATTTAGTTATTATGGGTGAGTAATTCCAAACGGATATCTGTAGATTATAAAACTTTAATTGGGTAGACTTCAGTGATAAAAATAGCTTTTTGCTTTGTCAGACCAAACCACACYTCGCCTTCCTGTTTCTACATTTACTTAAAACCTGATAATAAAATACCTGTCAGAGAAATAAACCCGATGTTACCTTTTGCTAAACGCTGATAATACTCTGATTTAACTCGTCTGTATTGTACAGTTTTTGGGCTCAGAGGAACCAGGCTGATGATAGCGATATGAAGCTAAGCTAATGTTAGCCTCGACTATCAGTGCGGATCCTTTCGGCTCCAGCTTCATCGGGACTCGGCTGAACAACAACTGGGATAATTTTAGACAACTGCAGCTCGGCTGCAACTAAAAGTACCTGTTCAGCTGACGGACCGGTTGGTTTTCCGCCGGTGCTGCCGCTGGACTTGTTACCCGTGCTGCTACCGTTGGCTGCCATCTTGGAAGGGTGTTCCCACTGAGGACCCTCGCAGCTGCCTCATGATATTGCCTGTATGCAAATGTGATCCGATCCGTAGAAGTCCAGTCTTTTTTTTTTTTTTAATAGCAAAATAGAAAAAGATCTCCCAGTGAGTAACCATTAAGTCAGACTAATTCCTAATTAATTCAACCCCCATTTTTYGAGCAGAACTACAAGTGACTGAGAAATAATTATTTTATTGTTATTCTTTTTAAAAATAATTACTTTTTAGAAAGGCATTTAAAGTTACTCATTACAATGTCATGAAGACTGGTAAAAATATAATAAATAAATAAAAAATTCTCATTAATAGTTAATGTGTCCTTAAATGATAAATTTGTAAGCAAAATATGCTGGTTGCCAACTACCATATGTTTGTTTATCTACAGAACAGCTGCAGTGACTGAAAGAGTAAGGAGAGAAAACAGGCACATTTTATTAGTTTTTTTTTCTCTCCATAGGAAGCAAATTAGCAATGATAATTATTAACTATTAAGGATTGAACAATCCAACGTGTTTTGATGTGTACTTATTATTCATGCTCAGATTTACTGAGTAAAGTATGTAGATAAGTAGATAAGTTTAGTTTGCAAAGAATGCATACCTGCATTTCAGATTAGCATTGCAATCTAATTGGAAAACTTTTTTCAAACTTCACCATTTCACTTGACCTTTAAATAAAAATAACTACTGTTACTTATATGCAACATCAAAACTTTCATATTGTTGTCTGATTAATTTTTTTAACAAATCCGTTGCTGCAAAAGGCAGCAGACTGAAAACGCTTGTGTTCATTTTATTTAATGAATTTGGAATATTTTGTTTACATTACAATTAAATATTTGTGATTAGGTGATTATGAAGAATTTTAATTATCTCTTTCAAATTTTTAGTAGCAAAATACTTGGGTTAAAATGTCCTCTCATTCACATATTTTACAGTAGGTGGCAATGTTGCACCTTCTGCTGGTTGCTGCTTCACAGCAAAGAAGAAGAACCTTTAAGTCTTCCTGTTTCAGAGCTGAACATGTTAATATTCCACTAACATGAATTAACAAAGCCAGGAGGTGACTCTGCTGGAGACCAATGTTCAGGTGCAGTTTGGGGACATCAGTGAAGTACCTGGCTACTTTKCTTCAACACAGGTCAGTTTGTTCTTACAAAAGGATAAAAACATTGTTTTGTACAGCTTCACAGTTACATTTTGTTACTAAGAGTTTATAAGAAAGTTGTAAGTGTTATAACTTTAAGCAAAAGCACACATATATATTTATTTTGAGTAAGACCTGAGCTGATGTCATGAAGGTTTAGTCCATTTAATTTAAGACTGTTTTTTTTTACAACCAAAAGCTGTCATTTGTGCAGTTAATGATCAACTATTCTTGACTTAGAGTTAATTTATACCACCAGCAACCAGCACACCCAGGGATTCAATGCAACTCATGTTTATTCGTCAAGGTGTTTGAATTGCTCCTGGTCAAACCCCTTCCCTGTGCCCTGTTTGCCATTGGAGACTCAACCAGGGGCTGCTGCCCCAGACAGAATAGCCCCTAGGGGTGCACCAAAAAATCGTTTAACATCAGAATCTGGGACGTCCTGATGTCACATGCAGCTAGACCTGGAATGTATGCATGTGCAGAAAGCACCAAAGCAAAGAGGAAACTACAGAACTGGAGGAAAGAGAGATTCAACTGACCCCTGTCTTCATTGAATGCAAAGATTTGAGCTCATTTTGGTTTTTACTGAATGAGTCTMAGTTTGACATGAGCTTCACTCTGTGTAAAATTTGCAAAATGAAGATGAAGCACTTTAGGAACATGACAAAAGGGCTCACTATGAGTTTTGAATGAAAAATCGATTTTGAATCYAATCGTGTGACAGTAAAAGATTCCCACCCCTCATAGCCCCCATGATCCTGTGGGGTATTCAAACCCCTCTARCACATTAAGGAGGCAGTTCTGCTGAGTTACGTACTGATAGGATGGAGCAGGAGATAYAARGGCAGATCAGGGCCTTGTCCTGAGCATTGCTTTGGTCAGTCATGGTGAAGACAGAGTTGAGGTTTATTGGTCTGTATGTGTTCCTACCKTCAGCTATGGTCATCAACGTGGGTCATGACCAAAAGAACAAGTTCTCAGATACAAGTGACAAGAATGTGCTTCCACTGTAGGYTGACCAGGCTCAGRCTTAGAGACTGGGCGAGGAGATCAGAGTAGAGCCTCTGCTTGTCCGCATCGACAGGAGTCAGTTGAGTTGGTTCAGGCAAGGCAAGTGCTTTGTTAACCAGATGTAGGCCAGCAAGTCTGGCAATGATGGCACTGTTTTTAAGATGGCATGCCACAACTGGCCCAGTCGTGGTTTGGTTCATGTGATGTTGGCCCATGCATGGACCACCTCTGGCAAAACACATCTGGGCCGCCAAAGGGCCATCATTCTTTGCAGCATCTGGCGCAAGTGCGTTGTGCGAGCCAGAACTAGACCAGACAAATTTAGCTACGTAATCCTCTCTGGCCTGGGAACACCTTGGGAGTCCCTCAGGTGGAGCTGGACCACAACCCGACCACTGATAAGCGGTAGAAGACGGAGATGTTCTCTCGTCTCCAGTTTTTTTGATCGAATCGATTCAACTAAAGTGTTTCATTTTGTTTTTCTCTGCGCAGGATGTCCAGTTCACGTCCCCCGCTGGCTGCAGTCTGTCAGGTCACAGCCACCCCTGACAAAGAGGCCAACTTCTCTGCCTGTAAACAGCTGGTGGAGGAGGCCAAAGAGCGAGGGGCCTGCATGGTCTTCCTTCCAGAGGGGTTTGACTACATCGGCTCCAGCAGAGAGGAGACACTGTCTCTCTCTGAGACTCTGGGAGGACACGTAATCTCACAATACGTTCAGCTGGCCAGGTATACTGACAGAGAGAATATACTAGAAATCCAAAGTATTATTTAAACATATCTATGCATACAATAAAGAAACATCAGTATTCTGAGGTGCGGCAGCAGCATTTTAACCTCTCTCCTCTTTCCCAGGAGACTGGAGGTGTGGTTGTCTCTTGGAGGATTTCACGAACGAGGACACGATTGGGAAACTGACCGACGAATTTATAACAGTCACGTTATAATTAATGACAAAGGTACGGTTCTTTAAACAGTTGTACTCTGCTTTCTGCAGGGGCGGGCACAGCTAACCAAAATGTTAGCTTTGCTAATTTGTATTCTAATCTAAAAAGGGGCAGATATTATACGATTTTTTGTCTTTCTGCTGCCTTTCATTTTATTTAATTTTTATATATTTTTTCCATTATATGTATAGTTGTTTTGTTTTTAATGAAATGAATAAATTTCTGAAAAAAAATCTGCTAAGTCAAAATATAGCTTTGCTAACGCTAAAATATTAAACAAATGGAAATTAGTAGAAGCTAACAGCTAATTGCTAACCGCTAAGACGACACTCAGTCACTCAGTCGGCTTCACGTCTTCTTCTCCTTCTGATGATGAAATTAGCTTGTTAATAGACTTAAAGTTGGAAAAACGTAACGTAGTGGAAGCTTTGCTAATTTGCTAATTCCAAATTTGGTGAAAAAGATAATCTGCTAAACGAAAAATTTGTTCCTTTATTAGCTGTTAGCTGATTGGCTGAACCATGTCCACCACTGTCATTCCGTCAGTCACAGAAAATCAAATCATCAAAAAGACCTCAAATAATTTCTAGCATAGGAAAATAACAATAAACTCGTAGAATTATCTGTAGTGAAGTGAAAGACTGAGATTGAGAGCTCTGTTTTGCATCACATTTTCGGGAAAACGGGGAAAAACCAGAATCATGATAATAATTTAATAATAATTTGTGTTTACAAATTGTAACTGCCTCCAAGATCATCTGATGTTTGCAGGTTTGGACATAAAAAGCATGAATGTTAAAGTTTAAAATGCCCACACTCCTGACATGTCAATCCAATCACAGGTGACATCYTGTCGGTCTACAGGAAGTCCCACCTGTTCGACGTTGAGCTGCCAGAAAAAGGTGTATCCCTCAAAGAAAGCGCCTTCACCGTTCCCGGACCCTCCCTCGTTCCACCAGTCCACACTCCCATTGGCAAGGTGTTTGTCTGTGCCTGTTAGCAAAATATCTCATGAACTGCAGTCGATTAATGAAACATTCAGGAAATGGTCACAGGATGGACATCTACAACATTTGGAGCCAATTCAAGATGGCTGCCACAGCTTTACAACTTTAGAAAACACAAAAATGCTCATAATTCAGTCGGTATTTTAGTTTTTGTGCTAAAATTTTGCGTGGTTGTAGCTGAGGGTCATACACAAGACATACTCTTAACACGTCCTGCTGACGTCAACACTGACTGTTYGCAAAATATCTCAAGAACCACTGGACAGATTTTAATGAAATCATTTGAAAGTCATTTTTTAGAAATGAATGAACATATGTTTGTGTTATTGTTGGTAATGACTTGTTTTGTTAATATTTTGGTACTTTTCCTGACCCTGTGGTTGTTGTTGTTTACAGGTGGGACTGGGCATCTGTTATGACCTGCGGTTCCCTGAGTTATCTCTGGCTTTGCAAAGGCACGGAGCTGAAATCCTCACCTACCCGTCAGCCTTCACTGTGGCAACGGGAGCCGCACACTGGGAGGTGGGAAGAAGAAAAGCAGATGGGAAACCAGAGAGGAAGAAAAAATAAAAGGCGTCAACGTTTATATGARTTGTTTCCAGGTGTTGCTCCGTGCACGAGCGATCGAGACTCAGTGTTTCGTCCTGGCGGCGGCGCAGGTGGGCCGGCACCACCACAAGCGCTCGTCGTACGGCCACGCCCTGGCCGTGGACCCCTGGGGCGAGGTGGTGGGCGACTGCGGAGGGGCGGAGCCAGGGATGGTCCTGGTGGAGGTGGACCTGGGGAAAGTGGTGAGGACCAGGAGGAACATGCCGGTCCAGGAGCACCGCAGAGACGCTGCTTTTTACAACAGTCTGAGTCCAACCTGACACGAAGATAAAACTGTCTTGATTACACTTTTACTGACAAACCAAGCTTTTTTTAAAATCTCATGCTGTTCAAGYGTTTGATTCACAGTTAAACAGAAGAAAATGTCATTGTTTCATTCAGATCTGAAGCTTCAAATGAAGAAATATTGTTTAATGAAGGGGGAAATAAAATCACATTAAAATAATAAAAAAATGATTACAAATAGGTTCACCAGTAAAGTAATTTAACATTAAATAATGGTGTTTTTTCTACAAATTTGATCTTTATTCAAAATTTGAGTTTTATTTGGAATCTGCTCATCCATCCATTGGTAAAACTTGTTCTGTATTCAGATCAATAGATGGCGCTYTTGGGCAAGAAGTCCAGTCGAGTCATAGACAGGTACCGTACTCAGTGACTGAATCACCTCTTCAGGTTCTGCATGAGCCTGTCTCATTTGAATCAGGTGTGCTGGAGCAGACAAACCTCTAAAACGTGCAGGATAGCAGCCCTCGAGSACCAGGACTGGACCCCCTGCTACAGCCCAATAAGAACCAAGAGCATAAAAAGAACATTGAGGAGAAATACACAGTATTTCAATAAATAAACAAGAACTAACTAAATATTATCTTTTTTCTTTGATTTACAAGCTGAAATGGGTTTAGTATAAACTCAAAAATACAACATCACATCTGTTGTTGGCATTTTTTCAAGTACAAATGTCCACCCCKCTTTTTCCTCTCTTATGAGTGAATACAACGAATGGAGATGATGGGAAAGGGTTATGGTCAGTGTTGTATAAAGTACCTCACAGTGATACTTGAGTAAAAGTACAGTATATTATCATAAAATTACTTTGGAAACAGTTGAAGTCTCCTCCAACAATATTACTTAAGTAAAAGTCTTAAAGTATATGATTTGTACTTAAGTATCAAAAGTAAATTTCTGACATAAAATATACTTAAGTATTAAAAGTAAAAATATTGACTAAAATTGAGCAGCTAGGTTTTCCAAAATACATTTATTGGGAGGTGAGTTCTCCAAAAAAATGTTTTTCTAAAAACGTGCAGCTGTGATGGATTGTGTACAAATTAATACAGTATCAGAATGGTATATATTTACTGTATATATATATGGAGTATATATA